GTAATTGAATAAGAAATACGAAGCAGCCTATAATTTGGATTTTTTATGAACAAAATAGATATTAACTTACATTTTTTAGTATTATAACTTTTTTTAGTGGGAGTGGTAGAGAAAAGTAGTGTAAAACATCAACAACATAACACCCGTTGTTTTTATCCTCAACGGGCGAAACAACTAGTAGTACAAGTAACAAGTGAAACGTTTTTCATCTAAGTTTGAGTATTGAAATAAAAATAGGCCTACTTTTGAAATATGTAATTAAAATGTAAAAATATAAAAGTAGGATACTATTTTAATAAAGGCGGCCCCATATGTCTTGGCATAAAAGTGAAAAGATTATGAGATTATTTTTATTTTAAAAAATGCTACATTATTACTTTCTCGTATATACGAAGTATAGAGAAAGTATTGTAATCGTGCTCAAAAATCACTTGAAATTTTAACAATTTTCACCTTATTACACCTCAGTCCTTCATCACATCCGAAGTATAGAGGACTTATTTTAATCGGGCAAAAATGATCAATCCAGATTTATCAAAATTAAGAGGTTTTATGCGTAATCCATTCTGAAAAACTGGGCTTTGCAATTCTGTCCGTATGTTTGTCTGTCTGTCTGTCCGTGTGTAAACACGATAACTTGAGTACCGTTACAGCTAGGTTGATGAAATTTCATATATAAGTATTTTATCGAAATCGTAGATCCGTATCAACTTTTGAGCGATTTCCGATAACCGGAAGTAGTACTTTTTCTACTTTGAATTTTCAAAAGCCTATAACTTGAGTACTATTTCAGATAGATAAATGAAATTTCACATGTAAGTAAAAGATCTAATTCTCTACCTTCTTTTAAATTTTGAGTAATTTCCATTGACCGGAAGTAGTAATTTTCGCTACTTCCGATTTCTCAAAAAACTAATGTAAATTTTTAAAGTACTAATAATATTGCGCACTATTATGCACTTTTTTATTTGACGTTCACTTGGTGTGCAATTCTTTTGTCTACGAGATTTTATTCTATTTTTAAAACTTTAAGTATTTAAAATAGATTAAAAATCATGTCTATAGCCCGAGTTCCCATCCCCTGTTGTTTTATATAAGAATATTCGAGAAAGTTTAGGTGAGATCACTCCCGGTTTATTTTAATATAGATTGTACGCGTAATTAAAACGTGCCAAATTAAAAGTGCTTAAATATTAGCGTTGAAAACCAGAATCTTCGCACCTCTTTTAGCAGAAAAATGTGGAACAGGAAAGGTATCCTTAACTCCTATCAGACGATCATGTTGACGAGTTGAATGACTTTGTGATACTGTCGCTAAAAAGTCGTTCTGTCTACATTGTGTTTCACCACCCGTAAGAGTGCTCTAAGGGAGACAATCGGCTTTAATATGTCTAAGACTTTCATTCGGAACCTTTGAAAAAAAATGCTCTTTTTAACCGGCTATTTGTCTCAACCCTTATTAGCAGACAAAAATATAAATTAAGCTTATTAAATGTTTGATTCTTATTGAAACAAGTAAGAAAAAAAATCATTTTTTTTTCCAGTGCACTTTAATTATGTTAAAACAATATCTAAAACAAAATATTTCAATCTAATGACCACATTTCGGCTTCATTTACTCTAGGTCGAGATGACCGGATGATAATTCGGCCAGTCTGTTAGCGATTAACCTGGTTGTCAGGGACGGTTCCAGAAACGCGATTCGTCCAAGAGGAAGCTGGACAGTACATTAGCCCGAAGATCGCCTTGTGATAAGCATCAAATCCCCGGCACAATCTGATAGCGCTGATAAATCACGGCCGGGAGAGTCGGCCAGGAGCCTTCGTGTTCGGTCACATAAACACTGTCTGCTAGGATGATGTTTGTTTTGTTTTGCTCCAATATTCGACTACTATTTTGACCTTGCGTGTCTGTCTCCATTCACAATATATCAAATCGATTATTTTATTCTTAGCTTAAAAAGTGCCCGATATTACCCAAAGCGCCTAGATGTTTATTTTATTTAACTAGATTGTTATGAAATACCGGGACGGCGTGGTGGGGCGGTAGAGCGTACGACTGCAAACCCGAAGGCCCAACCAGTACTAATGAGACCTGACTCATATCAATGAAAGTAATGGCAGCTGGACATATGCCAAGGTCGCATTAAATTGGGACCTCTAGTTCCTCTAGTCGCACGGACCGCTAGGGTTTTTTACTTACATTAACAACGAAATGAAAAAAAATACATTTGCAATATCGATATACAGGGGTTATTTAAACCTCAATGCGGCTCCCTTAATCGAGAACTGCAAATAGGAGTAACTATAACATTAATTTCTAAAATGAGAATCGCCAGGGTGATTCTGATTACAGAATGTGAGAACCATCTTTTATCTTCGTACAGAAATATCTCACCTACCCTAGGGTATTGCGGTTGTAATTGGTTGCAACTAGACTATTATACAAAGATACATTTCATGACAAACACCGTAAAAAAATACAAGAATGAGGTTTTAAGAACAACAATTCTTCGGTCACTAGCCCAGAAGACAGACAAGAAAATGTAAAACTAAACGGTTCGGTGGATTGGAAAATCGTTTTCTTTATTGAGTTTAGAACTTTAGCGGCTGCTTTTCATTCGTGTCCTGGATTGCGTACCATCTCTAATTGTCTATCGCCACTTTACCCAACCCCCCCCCCCCCCCCTTCCCACCTCACACACAAATACAATTAGTGAGGACATTGGCCTGTCTGTATTATAATCGTACGGTTGACCATCGAATACATCACGATTTAATAAAAATGACTATGTGAAGTAGCTTATTTATTTTGTTAGAAATTACAATTTTTTAAGCCTGTAAGGAGCAGAGTTTCTTCCAGGCATCTCTTTTTACCGCCCCCCCCCCCCCCCCCGAACGAAATGAAATTTATATAATTTATATAGAAAATATATACTTTTAACAGTGTCCGGAAGAAACACTGGTAAGGAGTATCCTACCAGGATTCGTTGCCGTTTGTTTCGTGCACAATGAGGAGAGACTGCTGGGTCAGTTTCGATAGCCATTGGGTCCATCTGATTCCACCATAACTAATATCATCACTGCCCGTCAGCACTGGTTGGGTATATGGGGACGCCAAGCACAGATTTCTCGAGTCGTCTGGGCTAGGCCGCTCTTTAAATGTAGCCTATCGTGTATTGTCAGCGTAAAGTTCGTGTCGCTAGGTGCTTCTTGGTCGACCTCTTTTACTCTTTCCTTTGAGGTCCCCCTCCTTTGAGGCCCCACCTCATTCCCTACTACGGTTGGTGATTTGCGATTCGTGTGCCATATCTGACCCAATTTTTTCTTCCTGGTTTTTCTTCACAATAAGACTATCAGGTACTTTCCCAAAGGGTAATGTTGCTGATTGTATAGGCCCAGCGGACCTTATGATCCTTCTCAAGCAGCTGTTGATATAGGTCTGGACTTAACAATGGTGGTCTTCATCATCTGCCACATCTCACTTCAATATAACAACAGTGAACTCAGATTGTGGTTGAACACTCGCACATTGGTGGTCAAGGATCGCTCAAAAGTTCTTTAGACTGCCCTTTGCGATCCTTGATTAGACATCTGCAGCTGTACCACCCCCACTGATCGATGATCACGTGAGTCAATGAGGGAGCATCCGGTTACATTTTTTTTACAAATGTACGCTTTCAAATTACTTTTTAATAGAGTTAACAGAGTTAGTCGTAGAATTTGAACGTTACAATCTAGTGGAGAATAGTATCACTCCACAAGGGAAATTTACTCTAAACTACAGAGGCTAATGTTTAATCTAAAAATACACACATCAAAACCCAGTAGGAAAATTAGATTATTTGTTGACCTCGGTTTTATTTTAAAAACCGCCCACAAAAAAAAATATCGAAGAAAGTATCAGGTTTTCGTATTTCTTACTGAAAAGGGCTGCTGGATTTAGAAAAAACTGATGTGGCATCCAAAAAGTAGCACCTGTAACTGTGCTTCGTGATTATTCTTACATTTTCCTAATTGTCCCCCTTGTGCGATAAAAAATATCAATTATTTCCCCTGTATTCTTCATCAAATTGTAACATTACATTTAAGAAAAACGCATAAATCAATAAACAAACAAGGTTTTACAATTTTTTGTATTATGATCACAGTAGTCAAAATAGTTTCTTTTAATACCTTCATTTAAAAAGTTAAAACATGTTAATGAGAATCTTCATACTACACAAAATAGCTCTCACATTTTTCTATAGAAATAACATGTTGAAAAAGAATTGATTTACATCATTGTAGCTGTCACGCCACTGCCTTAAGTATTCAGGATTAACCAACAATGTAGCCCCATAAATTAGACAAAACTACTGCCCTAAGTATTCGGGTCAACTTCAGATTAGCAATTATTGTATCACCATAAATTTGCCAAAATCACTGCTTTAAGTATTCAGATTAGCCAATATATTCCCCATAAATTTGCCAAAATCACTGCTCTAAGTATTCAGATTAGCCAATATATTCCCCATAAATTTGCCAGAAATCACTGCTCTAAGTATTCAGATAGGCCAATATTGTATCCCCATAAATTTGCCAAAATCACTGCTCTAAGTATTCAGATTAGCCAATATTGTATCCCCATAAATTTGTCAAAATCACTGCTCTTAGTATTCAGGATAACAGAATTATGAAGCTTTTTAAATAAGCTAAATGGGAAGCAAGAAGTAGACCTTCATACCCTAGTAGAAAAGCAAATATGTGGCTAAAAAATCATATCATCATTTCTTGCTAGATTTAGCATTTGTTAGTTCAAATGTACCCAAACCACAGTTACAGTCTAGTAAGTCTAGTTATCAGACGGAGTAAGAATTTACAACAGGGAGCTTAGTGCAACAGATCAATTGACCTGCAACAAACAAAAATGTTTACACCATTACGTTTTGATCAAATAATTTCTCTTCAAAAAAAGTGTCATTTTTTTTTAGTTTCAACAACTGAAAACAAAGGCACGGATGAATACATTTGATTTATGGCATTTGAGATAGTTACCAACTTGTAATGAAGTAGAGAAAACAAGCCCCAAACTAAGCTACAACCAGAAGCTAAGAAATGATCAAAGAACATAAGCAATGATACAAAGAAAATTCATTACATACAATAGATAAACATCATTTAAAGAACATATCGTACCACCATATTCATTACAGGGATAGCACTTCTTTTTACAAACCAATTTTGGTTAAAATTTAGTGAATAAAAGGGATTAGTACTATTAGTATCTGTATAATATACATTCATAATTCATATATAGATATATTGATATAAATAAACAGTATCAACTCAATACTTAATGACAGATAACCAGCATGTAAAATTGTTTTAACATTTGTAGTCTGTGTAAATACGAGTAGGAAGGTTTAAAAAAATAATGTACCTAGAAATGTTGAACATAGTTAATACTTTGAGATTTAGCCCTGAAGTAGTTTAGACTTGAAGACGTAGCAACAAATCCCAACACTTCTGTTTTATCAAGACCTCCAGGACAAGAAGTTTTGCAACTGTCAACACTGGTCACTCTGGCCGGCTATAGATTTAACTAAACAATTTTCATCTGCATGGACTAGAGCTAAACTTATACATTTTAACATAAGCTCAACTAAAAAAAATTTAAGTTGGGTAACTTGACTCCAACAGAAGAAATTCATTATACTGAAGAAAAAAAAAAACAAGCACACTCATATCAAGTAAAATGTCTATAGTTATTTCAAATTTCACAGCCAAATAAAAAAAAAAATCAGTACCAAAGCCAAAAAAAAAATGTAATTAGAAAAAAAAATCAGGTTAAAAAAAGATACAAGTTTTACCTTTCCAATCTAAAAAAATGTAATCGCACTAGTTTGCAAATATCTTCCACCTCAAGTGACAAACAAAACAATGCATAGTTGTAAGAGAACTAACATTTCTAAACATTTTGTTCCACTGAAAATCTACTTCACCGCTACTTCCGCAAAAAGCAGTTTTACAAGCTAAAATATTTTTGTGACTACAATTAGTCCACTTAATTGGCTACATATTAAACTTGAAAATTTTAATTTGTGTACTGCTATACAGCACAAAAATGGGACAGAGTTTACAGACTACACCTAACAGGATGTCACAACAGTTTGGTAGACCAAAAATAAGAATTAAAGTGAAACAACTTTCACAGAAAATTACGGAATATTCACAATATAGGCCTACTAATAAAACTAGTTTTCATTTAAATCTATATTTTAAAAATATTTTTGAGACATAATTGCAGTTAAAATGATGAAAAAATGTAGTAAAGCTATTTGAACCGCAACATACAAATTTGAATATTTTTAATAATAATTAACTTTATTAATTTGAGATATTAGTTAGCACCTTATTACCCTCAACTACATCCAAAAAAAAATATATGCAGAACATCTTTTATAGATAAGAAAAAAATTCTTAGTGAGTGAGATAAATTGAGTTTAAACACATGATTTCACCCGGCAAAACAAAATGAACTCAATGATCCAGATGGATGAAATGAGAGAAAATTACACTGCAGAATCCTGATTAAATAAACTGGAAGCTTAGCTTTTAACATAATAATAACAGAATGTGCAAACAAATATATACAATGGTTTTTAATTTTTTATCTGTGCAATACTCAAAATTGAAAGAAAAAAAACAACTAAATGCTATTTCTGTCATGTTTTCCAATTCTTTTTTAAGGAAAATTTTTAAGCTCTAAATTAATTACACTTTATAGATAAAATAAAAGATTTCTTTCTTCTCTTCAATAAGTTTAGACTTGTAGTTGACACATCTGTAAAACAGAGATGACTAGGACTTATGAAGAGATTGCGCTAGGGAGACTTAGATGCATCAAAACTGCTCTACAAAATTATGCAACTGACAAAGTGAACAGTCATTTCAATTTTTAGTCAAATAAGTTGATTTATATGAGTACACTGATCCGGTTAGGGGCCTTAATAATATGCAGCCAACAATTGCATTATATGCCGCCTGTTTTATTGCAATACTTCTAAGTGTTGCAGATATAGTAAAATAAGCATATTATGACATAAATTTTCTCTACAAGATAATACTCAGATTGCATACATTTTCTGGTAATCAATGTAGACAATTAACAGTGTTTTATTTTATGTACAATAAATAATTCACAAAAATAAACGACTGGCTCAGAAAAATATTAACAAGTACGTTATGTCTTTATCAGCGTCACTGTTTGGTAATCTTTTAAACTTCGACAACGTAAATTTTAACATAAAAAGCGGTGGTCCCTGTTTACTAGTCATAGATTTACAATGCCTTACAGTTGTAATGAAAAGAAGCATTTTACTTTAACTATCAATTTTAAAATTCCTAAACAGCATAAAGAGTAATTTGTATGGTACCCTGTTTTTAATTCTTTTTTACAATTGTCTTTACCTAAATATCCTCCCTTTGCCAAAACTTGCACACAAAACAATTTAATTTTTTATGAATTTCTATTCATATTTTTACACAAGCATATATACAGCTAACTTTATTATGAATAATACACTTTTCATGCTCTTAGTACCAAACCATTTTTAAAGCATCACAATCAATTAATAATAGAGTTTCAAAAACAAATTATTCTCATTATGTACATAAAAACTTAAAATGGTCATCACAAAGAAAATAGTGGATATGGTTCTGAAATTAACAATTGAACGGTGACTTATCAGTTATACAACAGTCAACAAATATTCTAAGTTCTTATCTCAAGATGAAACTATACAGTAATAGTATATTCCAATAGCTAATTCACTAAGACAGGCTTTATAGACATATTCTCGCCAAAGTTTAATAAGATTCAACAGATTCACACACACCCATGTAATCAACATTATCCGTGTATAACATCACTCATCCACTTCATCACTGTATGTCAGGTGTACAACAGCATCCTTGTCATCTTCTCGCGGCACTTGTAAGTAATGTTTTTTATTTGCCCAGCATAAATAACCATATTGTCGTGAATAGTAGATTAAAAATAATATGGATGAGATAACAAATGTAGAGAAAAACAAAACCAAGACTAAGACTAAAATACTCTCTATACCAGAGTCCTTTATATCCTTCTTACAGACATTGCCAACCAAAGAGTAGCCCACAAGACACGACCGACAGTTGGCACTTGATGTGTCGCACTCTCTGCAGCTGCCATGGCATGGCAGACAGGAGTTGGTGCCTGATGGAAACAAGAAATTTTTCATTAAACCAGTGAGGAGATAGTTAGCATTCAGAGGGTTAAATGTGAAACTGGACAATGTAAATGCATGCATGACAACCCAGAAAATCAATGTTTAAGGCATGCAAGGAACAAAATGCACAACAATAAAAATCACAACAACAGAACTTAGATTTCTAATTATAATTATACTTCCATGCAGTCTAAAGTTATAAGTTTTATACATGCTGTAATTATAAAACATGCAAATCATCGTTAAGACACATTTCAATAATAATATGCAAATCTACAAAACACTACATCAGGGTATATGAATACAAGTTTTACTAACCTAATCTACTTACAACTATTTACTACTCCATGCAACCAACTGAACTCTCAGTCAAATGGTTCATTATATATAGAATGTTTATTGAGTATTAAAACAGCGCTAAAACAGATCACAATACTTTCACAAGAAAATATCTATTGTGCAGAAATGAAAGATCAAATTTAAACATAAAACTAAGACATCGAAATCTAAACAAGAAAAACAGAATTTTGGATATGGAACATAAGAAATAGTTCCCAAAAATGTGTTAGTTTTATAACAGTGAAGCAATATACAATAAAAATAGAAGTCAAATAAATGTATCATAATTTTTAACTAACAAACAGAAATAAAGAAAAAACGCTTCAAGGTGGTATTTTGCTAAAAGCATTTATATGAAGAGTATTTTTTGTTAGTTAATCTTTCAAGCCCCATTTAAAATACTGTTAGGTTTTTTAGGTGTTAAAAAAAGTGAAAACTAAGTATATATAAATATATGTAAAACAAATACAGAGGTAGCTTCTAAATGAAATTCTTTTGTTCTTTAACAATTTACAATATGGAATGTTGATGTAATTAAAATAATTGATGTTAAACAAAAATTGATGTTATAGAAATTGTAAGTAGACGATGGAATGCAACATTTGTTTGATAGGCTCCTGCATTTAGTTCAGTACTTAAATAACTCAGCATAAACACAAAATATACAATTGCTATTTTTTGCAACCTGAGTTAATACAGTCTAAAACAATGAATAAAAGCATTCAGTAAAACATAAATAAGGGAGTGCACTGCAAAGCGTGATTCAGGCAGTAGAAAATAAAAAACATAAAATTGGAAGAACTAATTTAGTGCTGGATCTACTGTTAACTCTTTTGCTGCATGACAAGCATGTCTCGTTAGTTATAGATTTCTAATCCCATAAGCAGATGATGAGTATGTCTCAACGTGAATACAACCGTTTTATTATACTGTAATTATACTGTATGTTATATTATACTGTATGTAATATTATTGTGAAATATACTTATAATAATAATAAACATTTATTATGCAAATAATAGTTGCTTTTCTTCAAATTTTGTCTTTATATGTTTGGAAAAAAATAGTAACCTGCATAGATATAAATTTTTTAGTTGTACCGTAACATGCTAATTAGTTGAATTAAATGTTTAAAAATTAATTCCTTGATAAAAAATGAATCCCTTGATAAAAAATGAATTCCTTGAGGCAAGACAAGATGAACTTTAACAGCAGCAAATGGGTTTAACATGAGAAAATTAATGAAAAAATGTTTTTTAGAAAACATTAAAATGTAATTTCTTCCCAGAATAGACAAAATGTAAAACAGAAAGTACCACAAATTTACGTGCACCTTTCAATGCTAAAAGGTAAATAGAGTAATTCACAATGAGAAAATATTTTCCATCATTTTTGTTTTAAGAATAATGCAAAGCACTATTTGTATATCTTAGCTTTGACTGTGTTTTTAAAAAATTCAATCAAAAAATTGAAAAAATTTGTTTTCGTCTATTATATGAAACTCTGATCTAACTTATTTTGTTTAAAAGTTTTAAAAAATCTTAAGCAATAGTAAAGATGAAGAAAGAATCCTCCATTAGATTGTTGAACCTACTGTAAGCCTGCTTGTACTGTTATTTATACAGTACTAGCTCTTTATATTAGCTCCCCTATCCAAATGGTTAGTAGTTCCCCTTAACCATTTTAGCCAATAAAGCCCCAGTGGCAAATTGGCAAAAAAAACTTTTCATTACTTTATATTCTGCATTAATCTACAAACAAAAGTATAGAAAAACTACTTATTAAAACCAAAGCAGCTGTCAAAACACTGACTACACATTTGAATAAGATCTGAGGTGAGGTATGGATTCTGTGGGAGATCTGAGCCTTCAGAGAAATCCAGAAATCTGGCGGCTCTTTGTGTTTTACAAACTTCAGGCATGAAGTTGCACAGAGATGTTTTATAATCTAACTCATGGCTTGACTTTTTCAACTGCTCAAAATACAATTCCATCTGAGCGTTGAGGTGGTTATAAAATATATCTGGGTACGGACTCAAAAAATCAAAGTTTTGGTGGTTATACGAATGTGAAGGTGGGTTAGGGTTATTGTAATGGTAAGATGGACTATCAACAGGGTACATGTTGACAATGCTGTTACAACAAGAAAAATAGAGGCTGTGCAATTTCTTACTGAGGAAGAACCCAGGCAGGCAGTCAGAGGAGCAGATCCACTGGTCTAGCTTGAGCTTGTCCTTCTGTAGCTGGTGGCCCAGGGGGCAGGAAAGGCAGTTGGTCAGCATGGGACCGTTGCAGGTGGAGCAGCTGATCTCACAAGGCAGGCACATCTCTAGGGACGTGTAGTAGCCGTCAGGGCATGAGGGCACACACACACTGGGGGGGTTAAACAGAGAGCTTTAAATACAGACAAATTATCACACCCATAGACTGATGAGAACATTGTCGGAACTTTGTACCAGACAAATTATCATACCCATAGACTGGTCAGAACATTGTCAGAACTTTGTACCAGACAAATTATCATACCCATAGACTGATGAGAACATTGTAGGAACTTTGTACCAGACAAATTATCAGACCCATAGACTGATGAGAACATTGTAGGAACTTTGTACCAGACAAATTATCATACCCATAGACTGATGAGAACATTGTAGGAACTTTGTACCAGACAAATTATCATACCCATAGACTGATGAGAACATTGTAGGAACTTTGTACCAGGAGCAGCACAGTAATAAAAAAGGAGATCAGTAAAATGTTAAGTTCTTATTTTTTTTAAACTTGTAATATATTCATACAATTTGTAGTAAGATACAAAAGTGGAAATGTATGAACATTTGGGCTTGGGTAATAAAATCATATAATTTTATGTAAACAAAAAAATCTTTAGCCTACACTGACACCAGATTAAAAAACTAACATCACAATGCTCAAAAGCTGAAGCTCATTTCAAAAAGAATTCAACCTTAGTTTAATAAGTTGACGTCAATGACAAAATCTACAATAAAAAACTGTCTACTGACCTGGTTGGGCCAATACGAAAATGCTTGCATTTAAGACAATCATGAGCCTCAGGACCAGAGCAGAAGCCATCACATTCTTCATGGCATCGTATGGGCTGGTTTACCTGTCATACGCACAAATATACAATTCATGCTCAAATACCCTTTAAAATGTACATGTTTTCTAATGTGCAATGATGGAAAAACCAAAATATAGTTAACAAAGTTTAACATAAAATAATTGTAAAAATATATTAAACTGCTGAAGTGCACAAAACTTAATAGTGCTAACCTATGGGATGAGCCAGTGTAAAGCAATTTTTAATAAGTCATAACATGGTATAATGAGATAGAAACAGATCACTTTTTAGCACCTGGGGAAGACTTGATTCAAAATCTACCACCCCCATTTACAAACGATTGTTAATTAAATACAAACTAAATCTCCACAGATTCACCCCACCTATGCCACTACCGCAGTGATTAGGGTATACTAATTTAGAACAAAGGTTCCCAAACTTTTTAGAGTGGTGAACCCTTTTACTTTTTTGTATACAGAGTATAGAGAAAGTATTGTTATCATGCAGAAAAACTCAATGAAATTTTAAGTTTTTACAGATTTACACCTCCCTACTATATTGTGTAAGGAATATAATGGATGCATTTAAATTGGGCAAAAATCAAAATTGAGCTTTTGACAAATTTTGACGTTTTATAAACCCCCAGAGCCGGAAAAATCAGTTTTGCCACCCTGTCCCTCTGTGTGTGTCTGTATACACAATAACTGGAGTGTCATTTCAATTATTTTGACCAAATTTTATATGACTTAAGTACCATTAAAGTAAGTTAGATAAAATTCCACATAAAAGTATAAGATTGTATGCACATGTTTCTATCAACTTTTGAACATTTTCCAGTAATCAGAAATGGTACTTTATTTCCGTGGAAACACGAAAACTTGAGAACTGTTTCAGTTACGTAGACAAAAATTCAAATACAAGCATAAGAGCTTGTACTAAGATTACTTTCAGTTTTTAGAAACTTCCAATATCCTGAAGTGGTACTTTATTTCTAATTTCTAGAAATACTAAAATAATAAATAACATGACAACTGTTTAAGTCAGCTACATTAAATTTCATACATAGATATCTGATCTTATTAGCCTGTTTCTTTCAAATTTTGAGTGATTCCCAATGACCGGAAGTAGTACTTTACACTATTTCTAATTTCTCAAAAAGGTAATAAATATTTACTTTTGAAAGTAGTACTTTTTGGCTCTATTATACTCACACTATTTGTGTTCATTAGTTGTTGAATTCTTTTTTTCAGCGCAATGCTATTCTGTTTAAAATAATTTTAGTAATTAAAAAGTTAATCAATAAAGCAGGAGTAATCTCCCTTAATCTTTCTTGTATATTACATTTTTTAAATAAAACAGAGTTGTGTTTAAGAAAGAATTGTGCACCAAATGAACATAAACAACGTGTGTATAATAGAGTGGAAAATTAGTGCTTTATAAAAGAAACATTGAGTGATTTTTAAAATGTTAATTGAACTTGTAATTCCGCCACATTTTATGTCACAATAATTGTCATCGAGCCTAGAAATCGGTCCGATGGAAGTGATATTTTTGTCAGAAATAGGGAATAATGTAAGGGAATAATGTAAGGGAATAATGTAATGTAATACTTCAGTTCACCACCAATCAATCAAAATTTGAGCGAATCAAGAGAATAAGATTTTATGCCTATGTTTAAAATTTCGTCTTGAGTTCGAAACAGTTAAATGAAACAGTACTCAATTTATCAGCATTTTAGAAACCGGAAATAGAGTAAAATATCACTTTGGGTCATGGGAGTAGAGTAAGAACGACATCTGGTTACTGGAACTTGCTTTAAGTTTATACAGAACTACAAATTAAATATAATATTAATAAATGAAATTTTGTCAACATAACTAGTTCTCAAGCTATCATGTTTACAGACACACAGACAGACAAAATTGCAAAACTAACTTTGTCTGACTCAGGGAAGTGTAAGATGTTAAGATGTATCAAAATATTGATTTTGATTTTTTGCACATAACAATACTTTCTCTATACTTTGTATTCAAGAAAGTAAAAACAATTTTATAGTCCTGTAAGTGCCACCCCTACTATTATATGAAAATACATATTTATATATGTGGGCAGAAAACCCACCATCACCCCTCACTGGGTGGAATACAATTTAGAATACAATGCAAAATGGCTTTCATTAATTCACTCTTGATAATTCTCCTTGAACAGTGGCTCAATAATTGTTTACACCAGCGCTCAAGCTAACCAAATACTGACAGAAAAATAGTAGGTTTCATGTAGAGTCTACTTACATTTGTGGTTGTGAACTCTTTACTTGAAGGCATCTGTGTACTTGGTGGGGCCTGTTTACCTGTTTCATTCTTCAGGTGGACAGGCTGCTCTTTGGTACCATGCAACACTAGAGACCAGCCCAGCAGGGTACCTGTATATGATGCAACAAAACTAATTACAGCATCAATACACTTTGGTATATTAGTCAGTAACTATTGTCAATGATTTTACTTTGTTGCTGTATATTAAAGACTGCATTTCAACCAATTAATAATAGAAAAGACATGAACCTTTCAATAACTACTTGTTAGCCCATTTTTTCATTTCGTTTGTGAGAAGATTTTGTGAATAGAACAAATATTACCCTAAATGTTTTATCCCAGTCCAATGTGAATTAAAAAAAACGCTTAAGACTACCACAAAACAAAAGTTTTAAACAGGCAGAGCACATCTCCTTTAGCACTATAATATTCATCATCTTCAATTCCCAGTAATTACACACCGCGAGGGTATGATGACAACATACAAAACTCACCTCCTTTAGAACTATAATATTCATCATCTTCAATTCCCAGTAACCACACACCACGTGGGTATGATGGACAAGACAACAGACAGAACTCACCTCCTTTAGAACTATAAGATTCAGCATCTTCAATCTCCAGAAACCACACACCACGTGGGTATGATGGACAAGACAACAGACAGAACTCACCTCCTTTAGAACTATAAGATTCAGCATCTTCAATCTCCAGTAACCACACACCACGTGGGTATGATGACAACAGACAGAACTCACCTCCTTTAGAACTATAAGATTCAGCATCTTCAATCTCCAGTAACCACACACCACGTGGGTATGATGGACAAGACAACAGACAGAACTCACCTCCTTTAGAACTATAAGATTCAGCATCTTCAATCTCCAGAAACCACACACCACGTGGGTATGATGGACAAGACAACAGACAGAACTCACCTCCTTTAGAACTATAAGATTCAGCATCTTCAATCTCCAGTAACCACACACCACGTGGGTATGATGACAACAGACAGAACTCACCTCCTTTAGAACTATAAGATTCAGCATCTTCAATCTCCAGTAACCACACACCACGTGGGTATGATGGACAAGACAACAGACAGAACTCACCTCCTTTAGAACTATAAGATTCAGCATCTTCAATCTCCAGTAACCACACACCACGTGGGTTCTCCCCCCAGAAGTGAACTGACAGGAACGGCCAGTCATCAAAACCCCCAGGGTTGGCATCATTGGGCCTGTGGGGTAGCAGCATTGACCTTGTGCCCATGGGGGAGGTCAGGTAGATGATGACGCTGCCCCTGACGTCATATGTGAGGGAGATCTTGGCCTGTACGTGCTCCAGATAGTTCACTTCTGTAGGTGTGCCCTTGCAGCCGTCAACATGGATCTCACTCTTGAATTTGTTGTGGGACATCAAGGCACTTTAACAATGTCAGAGAGAAGAATGTGAACCAGGTTAAGTCAGAGAATATTAAATTTCAACTAAATTTGTACAGCACATTGTTTTTTATTTTAGATTAATAAATAACAAATCGGTATAAAAACTATTACTGTATTAGACCAAATTTTTTTTAAAAAGAAATTATTTTGTCATTTAATAGATAGTAAGTGTACATAAATAGGTGTATATAAAACAATAAAGCCTAAGATAATTACTGGCCAAACCATAAAAAAAATATTGAAAAGTCAACTTGTTTTGGTGATTTTTTTCCTTAACTGAAAATTTTTTTTAAAAATGTGTTTATTAAAAATAATACATCTACAGTAACAATTAGATGAACAACAAGACATACACATTATGCACATCGGATTCAGTCAAACATTCCTGCTTTTCTGGCACATTGATCCATAACAAAGACAACTTGACCATTTCTAGGGCATCCATCAGACCATATCCATAACGCAGGCTCACTGAAATTTAGAAAGCCTCTAGTTAAGTATATGGGGTTTGGTGTATTAGAAATCAATCAATAAAATTTTGAAAATTGAGAAACTGGCTGATTCTATGACCATCATAAGCCCACTGTCATATGTATTTTGTATGAATGGTGCTAGTATAAGAGTGGTAACCCAATAACATTCTACAAGCCTGACATACAACTCCTTGACAAGGAGATAATTGAGAGAAAAGAACTCGTCTACTTCTGTAATGATTTACAGACTATGTTGCTTTTATAAATATTATGAGACCTAAAACAGTGGTATCTTCCAGTTACATTTGAATTGATTTATGTGAATAAACAATGCTTAATTTTACAAGTTATACTGTATGTAAATATATCATGGTGACTCGACCTTTTCTACCCACTCCATTGGTCACCCATTGTCCATCTCTGATTGGGTCAGGTCTGGCTGTCATGAGTGTGATGTACTGAACATCCCTCCATGTCAGGTCTTTGCTGATGAGAGGAATAAATTCAATTTTTCATGGCTTCAATTTTTTTTATATTCAATACAAAAATATTACTTTTAAAAATTTTTAAAGATGAATTACATCTATATATCAAAAACAACACTAACTAAACAGATTTTGTAATAGGAAATCAAATCCAATAAAAAAAAAACCTCTGAAGAAATAAACTGTGTAATATAAACAACAATTGATGCAAGTAGTTTTCTATTTGAAATTACTTTGCTACCAATTTAGTTAGCTTCAACAGCTTAGTATATGTTGCCCATAGCTGCTTTTGTTTCCTGCCTTTTCTGCTAGGTAGTCTACAATTTCATATGCTTGACATGGGTCCTCAACAATACTCTCCCATTTTGTCCAGTCCCCAGCTGTTAATTTTGCAGTCTCCCAAGACATCCCTGCTGTCTCCAGTTCTTCAAGAATTATCCACCTCCAAGTCTGTCTTTCTTCCACCTTCTGTCATGTATCATCTGTAATCCAGAGCTTCCTGTTGGGCACTTTTCTTACAAGCACTTCTTTGCAGGCTTGCTTAAATATTTCTACTGAATCAAAATCTTTTTGAAAAGCGCTGACATAGCTCTGGGGCTAACTGGGGCACACAAGCCCTTCCACCACTTCAAGACGGTGTGCCATCAGGATGGAATTTCACAATCAGTCAGTTTCAAATGTTTTTCTAAAATGATGTTGGAAGGGATCTGCTTTTTTAAATTGTCGTAACTTTTCTTTCAAATTTTGTTCTTAACAACCATGTTGATGAAATATGATCAGCTGTCATGAACTTACCACCTCTGTTGTTGATGTTTTGTAAACAAACGATACTGATAAACTGATAACAGGATTAAATATTTCTGAAAGTTTCTCTGGAAGCCGCAATAAACTTGCAACAATAAAAACCTACAAAAAAATAAACATGAGACTTACTTGGCCTCTAAGATCAAAGCTACCATCCCTGCAGCAAGAGGAGCTGAAGCTGATGTTCCAGTGTGGGTGATTGTACATTTTTCATGCAGGTCTGTGGAGGCCTGGAAGTGGATCAATAACATTAATGGAAGCCACTTTGTTCATGATCAATTAATAATAAATGGCACACAATAAAAAACATTATGAAATTATTTTTAATTTACATTATAAAAAAGACATCAGGTAGGTTGATAATAATTACAAGCATTTCTAATGAGTTAGTGTTTTAAACTTTTATGCATTATTGCTGTGCATTACAAGAGTGTTTTCAAGTTAAGTTTTTATTAGAAACTGGCAATAACTACTGCTTGTCCAAAAAAGCTCAAAGACTACAACAATGGCTACGTTTCAAACCACTAGCAAAGACCCAATATTATTGAAGTTTTAAAAACATAGGATATTTGTACCACCAATATCAAGACGAAACCTATGTATAAACCAGCTTACAATCTGCTTCTCATTGAATCCCCCACTGCTGTAGGTGGTGGCTAGGGTAGATGAGCACTCCTCTAGGTACCAGGGTTTGACTCCATTCTCTGATGTACTGCTGATGGACAAGGTGTAGATACTGTTGGCATAGCCATCACAGTTACAGGAGTCCTGAGCACTGCCTCCATTTCCAGAGGCCCACACAAATATTGACCCCTTACCATCTCTGCCCTGAAACATATTTATTCAAATTTTAAATTAAGGTGTTCATATAAATCTTTAAACTTAATCACACAATAAATTGTACATATTTGACAAAATGTTATTATTGGCTATTGGTACATGATGTGTTTGTATTGAATTAAATTCTACCTTATTATAATACTCTATAATTTGTGAATTCAATATTAGCTAAAATTGTGGCTTTCACATCAGACTTGAAAAACTAAACTTGTTTAGTTATGTGATAACATTGATGTATGCTCTTCAAAACAAAACCGCTTACATGTAAGATACCATTGATGAATGCACTTTTGGCCAGCTTGCCAGGACCATCAACAACTTTACCATCATCATCAGGCCCCCAGCTAGCTGAGTAGATATCCACATGGCTGCGATTAAAGCTCAGGGATGCTGCTTCTACTGCATCATAGACCTCACCATCTAACATTCTCACTCCTGTAAACAAGTCAATGCATATTTTATTTTACACATATTTTATATGTTTCATTAAAGCTCAGGGATGCTGCTTCTACTGCATCATAGAACTCGCCATCTAACATTCTCACTCCTGTAAACAAGTCAATGCACATTTTATTTTACACATATGTTTCATTAAAGCTCAGGGATGCTGCTTCTACTGCATCATAGACCTCACCATCTTCTCACTCCTGTAAACAAGTCAATGCATATTTTATTTTCACATTCTCACTCGTGTAAACAAGTCAGAGCATTTTTTTTTTTATTTTATTCTATAAACATAATCTTTATAGCCAACTTTATCATGAAAAGTAATAGTGTTAAAATAGAGAGGTTTTATCTGTGTATGTGGCAACACACCAATCAACAGCCATAGACAGGGACATTAAATCCTGCAAATAGGGATGGATAGGGCATACCCTGAGAAGGGCAGAGGACAATATCGTAAAGAAAGCTGTAGACTGGATTACCAGAGGAAGAGGAAAGTTGGCCGGCTAAGGAAATCCCCGAGAAGGACCGCAGAAAATGAGACAAGGTCTGTCAGGCTTACATGGGCGCAATATAAAGAGAGTCGCTAAAAACAGAGTCCGATGGAGAAGTATGACTGCAGCCTTTTGCTCCCCAGGGGCAATGAAGTATATCTGCATATAACAAACAATGACTGATATAATCATAATCTATACCCAATAGACACAGCTGTTTTCTATACTTTAAGAGTACTCAGGTACAAATCTTGAAAATAAAATTTCTCAAATCACTGTTAAAAAAAAAATTTCAAGTATCTGTTTAAAGCAACAGAAAATCATTTTTTTTAACTAAATGTATTAAACAGTTCTGAGCAAACTTACCCCCTATCCTAGAATGCGGTGCTATACCAATAGTACAGTGTGTATTGTTGGCCTCAGCCGACACCTCCCCTGCACATCTGGTTCCATGCCTGAATATCAGAATAATTATAATACAAGGGTACAGTATGTCATAATTAACACAAAGATTAAAAATAAATTACTCCATCTACTCTTCTTCTTCTTTGTTTTTAATTTTAGTGTTGGAAGGAATCCCCTCCAACACAATTAAGTATACTTGTCAACTGGTTATGTGCCGTTGAGGCCATTGACTCTGATTTCAGCCTGCTTTTCTTTTTGGATTTTTTTTGTCCAACCAAGAACTACAAGGCAGCAGTTGTTTGATTTTGGAGCTATCTCTCCTAGAAGAGTGGCTGCCCCAACTAATGAGCCTCATCTGCAAGAGGGTTCGAACTCGAGACTTTTTGGTTTAGCAACCATGAGCTTTACCAACTTGACCACACCGACTCCTACCCAACCTACTACAAACCACCTATATATATATATATATATATATATATATATATATATATATATATATATATATTATATATATATATATATATATATATATATATATATATATATATATATATATATATATATATATATATATATATATATATATATATATATTGCTAGAACATTGATTCTTTAACAAAAAATACAAATGTGTGTTCTCCTTACCTGTTTTCATTAGAGGGATCATATCTTGGCATGGGATCACTGTCATGGTCATTTACATCGTAACTTGCATAGGGGTCCTAGATTACATTAGTAAACAATATCAGTACATAATACATGACATATTTTGTTATGATACTTTCCTAATGAGACTTCACCAAACAAGGTTTTAGCAGCTGATGTGAAAACACAAAATAATATTATATAACATCTGGCACCAATGATACATTTCTCTACCAATAAAACAACTTTCATAAATGAGAAATTTTTAAAGTTCAATTTTAAAAAATGAATCCATCACTCAAGGCCAATTTTTTTTTAAATAACTGAAGGATTACAGGGAATGGGAAAAATAAAAATTAATGGTTTCAAAAGACAGATTAGCAAAATTATTGCATTAAATTTTTAACCCAAGTAAAAAAGATTAAAAAACTATTTCCCTTTAATATAGATTTCTTTTCCATGGCCAAATCTCTGACTTGATGAAAATAACCTTGTATAGAAGAACAGGCTAATCTGACCTAATTAGATGCCTGTATGTCTGATTAAACAGGTGATCAAGGCTCGTTACCTGTCATGTTCTCTGTGATTACCTTAAGCAAGCAACCATGATTTCTACATGAATAAGTTAGCAAAAGGTAGGCTACAAATCCAGGACATAACTATTGAGGAAATAGATTATGTTTTTTTTATTTGATTTAAAAAACAATATTTATCATTTGAATTTCTCATTAGTTGTTTTTTATTTTCAATGTAAACTTGAGGTAAAAAAACATAAATATTTCAACTACTATTTTGAAAAAAAAAAAATACCATGGAGGTACAACCAATGAAAAATTATGAAGGAGGGAATTCTTTCAATGACTTAAAATTTGCAATTTAATGTAGGTTAGTATATACTTTTAACTTCTTGTAGATAAATTTAATATTACGTTGTGAACTTGTAGTAAACTTTTGAGCAATGCACCATCACTGAAATAAAAATTCTTGGCTCTGCTATCCTCTTACACATAAAAGGAGAGATTAAGATTAGATGATGGGCTAGCTGTATATTGCATAAGGTCACTTTAAACTATGTTTCCAGAGGGATATAGTTTTTACTTTAACTTAGCTGTAGCAGTATTTTTTATGTTTTTCCACATTTCTGTGAAGCTTTTTATGCCTCCGCTAGTGCTAGTAAGCTATGTCTCCCAATTTTGAAAATTACTTCAGTGAACAATGCATTTTTAACACACTGCTAGTTTTAACATTTAAGTCAATACAACAACTACAAAGAATTCCAATTTCTAAACACCACTTCCAAAACTTGAATCATACTAGAAAAAGACTTACATAATTTTTCACCAAGTCCGGGTGTGTTCTCTCCAAGCCATCGTCCAGTATAGTGACCACGATACCTTTTCCTGTATAGCCCAGCTTCCAGGCTTCCAGCACATTCATATCATTGCCACCATAAGCTCCCCTATTCTGATACAAGAGTGAAAACATTGCATAAGTTACATAGTTTACACACATTCATTTGATAACACTTACACTTAATGCGACTATTCTTCATTTAAGAAATTTAATTTAATAATCTTTAATGTTTCATACAAGAAAATATTCACTAAAAACAGGAGTTGTACTTTAAATTTTGCTTTAATTTTTACACCTAACCATATTTTCATAAATATTTTCCTTGATGTTTGAATATAATAAATTAGTAAACAATGGAAAATGCTTTAAAATAAAAAGAGCTTGTTTGCTTATCCGTCCAGCATGTTACTGACCACAGCATGCACTTTACACGCAATATGGTAGAAATTAATGAACAATTTACATCTTGCTATGAAAAAAAAAGCTTTACAAAATGGTAATTAAACAGGTCATAACCATAATGGCTAACTGAAATAAGACACCTGTTTTCATCAACAGCAGCTGTTCTCCATACAAACACCCCCCCCCCCCCCCACATACACACACCCTAGAGACAAACTAAACATGTTTACACATTATATCTGTCAATAGCAAGTTAGGTGTTGCTCTAAACAGATCTGTTTGCTAACTTTTAATATCAACATAAGCCCTGGGAATAATTGAGTGTAACATTATAAGAGCAAACACAATAAAAAACTACTGCACTAATGTTTGGGATGAGCTAGCAGCATCAGATAGCGCTTAAATCAATAACAGTCACATACATCCATAAACTGCACCCATCTAAAGTAATAAAATGATCACATACATCCATAAACTGCACCCATCTAAAGTAATAAAATGATCACATACATCCATAAACTGCACCAATCTAAAGTAATAAAATGATCACATACATCCATAAACTGCACCCATCTAAAGTAATAAAATGATCACATACATCCATAAACTGCACCCATCTAAAGTAATAAAATGATCACATACATCCATAAACAGCACAATCTAAAGTAATAAAATGATCACATACATCCATAAACAGCACAATCTAAAGTAATAAAATGATCACATACATCCATAAACAGCACAATCTAAAGCAATAAAATGATCACATACATCTATAAACAGCACAATCTAAAGCAATCAAATGGTCACATGCAACCATAAACAGCACAATCTAAAGCAATCAAATGGTCACATACATCCATAAACACCATCCATCTAAAGTAATAAAATAGTCACATAAAACCATACACAACCCCAACCTAAAGTAATAAAATTGTCACATACAACCATAAACAACATAGACCCAACAGTCCTTTAAAATAATAACCTAGGCACATACATCCTTAAGCAGTCGATAAGTTTAATAATAAAGTCACACACTTCAGCCTTAAGTACTGACTCACCAGGTACCACTGGTTCTTCCAGTTAGGATCTGTCACACTCATCTGTTCCGCAACCTCTCGTGGGTGGAAATCTCTTTTCTTGCGGGACTTTGCAACCTGCTGTTCCACCCAGTTTACCTGGAAAGAAAACAAATAGGTCACCTGATTAACGAAATTCATGTCTTAAATTGTGTCAACCTTCTAGTACAGATATTCCTGCAGCATGGAAGTAGAACACCATCAGCCTAAACCACAGCTAAAGGTGGTTTAAACACCATTTATCACAACCTTAATGGTGTCAACCTTCTAGTACAAATCTTGCTGCAGCATTTAAGTAGAACACCATGAGCCTAAACCACAGCTAAAGGTGGTTTAAACACCATTTATCACAACCTTAATGGTGTCAACCTTCTAGTACAAATCTTGCTGCAGCATTTAAGTAGAACACCATGAGCCTAAACCACAGCTAAAGGTGGTTTAAACACCATTTTTTCACAACCTTAATGGTGTCAACCTTCTAGTACAAATCTTGCTGCAGCATTTAAGTAGAACACCATGAGCCTAAACCACAGCTAAAGGTGGTTTAAACACCATTTATCACAACCTTAATGGTGTCAACCTTCTAGTACAAATCTTGCTGCAGCATTTAAGTAGAACACCATCAGCCTAAACCACAGCTAAAGGTGGTTTAAACACCATGAGAATATATCCACACAGGCTGGCCCAGTGTTTTATTTAAGAAGTTTTAGAATAGGCAGGACCAAAAAAAATTTCCAAGATTGTTGTAAGAATATTATAAGGGGTATTGCAAAATTTCATTACGTCATCAATTTTTCATAACACAACTTCAATGTTGATTATAGATTTTTTTTGTAAATGAAAAGATAATTTTTTTTTTAAAAAGATGATTCCAGATGATTACATGAAAGGTAATTAAAAATGATCTAATGAAAATCTGATGAAATGAAGGGGAAAATGAGATAGGAGAATGAATCCCAGATCATCTTCTGATGATAGAGCTTTGGTAATGTGTGGGTCTCCATAGAGAAAAAGATGGATCCCACTCAATCATTGTCAGGTCATAATTGAGAAATGTGTGGGTATGTAGCAATTGAAAAATGTATAGGTCCCCATTAAGAAATGTATAGGTCCCCATTAAGAAATGTGAAGGTCCCCATTAAGAAATGTATAGGTCCCTGTTAAGAAATGTGTAGGTCCCCATTAAGAAATGTATAGGTCCCTATAAAGAAATGTGTAGGTCCCCTAGAGAAATGTGTATGTATGTGCCCATTGAGAAGCAGGCAGGTCGCCACGGCATGACTAGAACAATGGGAGCCTTGTGCTACGTGTCAATGCGTGAATCTCATGGCTTGTCTGGCTTTGCTTAGGAGGAAATGGGAAGTTCTTATCTACTGGGCGATACGGCGAGTTTATTTTTAAATGTATATAAATACTGAGGTGTGCTTATGTAATGTAGGCCTAAAAACTCGCAGCCAGTGTAAGAAAGAGTTGGATTTCCCTAAAACAAAATCAAAATGGAAATGCAGGATATACGGTATGTAAAACTAATTTATACGGGTTGCTGAAAAAATGATCTATCATAAAAACTGACAGGCATAATTAGAATACGAACAGCTAGTTTGGAAAAAGAAAACACGAAGTTGTCATAGTTACTGGACGTGTAAGGGAAAAGCGGGGAGGGTTGAATTCGGTACAGTAAGACGAAAGGTTCGGCGACAATGCACTTCCCTGTGTAAACATCTGTGCGGGGTAGGGAAGAGGCTGTACATTAGCGGTGGGAGTAATCCAGCCCATGCAGTTATTCTTTTTTTCTAGTGCTGTAAAACTTCTAATGTATTTTTTTATAGCACAGTAAATAAACCGCCCAAGGCGACGAAATGTGTAGTTGCGCCTCAAAATTAGCAGTCGTGTTAGCCCATCTCCCCCCCCCTACGCACACATATACCTGACACATACAGTGAATAGGCCGCCATCTGATACACCAAGAAATGAACACCCACCAAGTACAATACAACAGATACGCTGGCTGTAGGCCAATCTATATTATCCAAATGCAGCTCATCAGTCATCCGACACAATCACACATAATGGGAGAGAATACACAATTTGTTACAAGATTTTGATCAGTCAGTTCTTTACGAGTTCTGAAAAAATCGACATTAAATCATGGGTAATCGATTCTCGTTCGCTAATCAATTAGCGATAGTAAATGCTTCTTTACACATATTTATGATAGCCACGTGGTAAGGCCAGCAAATTAACTCATAATATGCTGCTAATGTTGATTACACTACAGTGTCTAGCCAAGAAAATGTTTTGCTTTGACCTCCTGTGGGTTTGTTTGTTTGTTTCTGTTTGTTTTTGTTTGTTTGTTTTTTGTTGTTTTTTTGTGGACACTTTAAAAGACTTTACAAAGATTATATTAACACGGCTAGCATTGGAATTAATTAACATAAGTCGAATTGACTGGTCAGTACCGCTAGTAAATGAATTAAGTACAGCAACTAGATAACTAACTCTGGCAACCCACAGGGACTGACTGTCGCAAACATTTTACTTTCTTCACTTCCATGTACCAGCCTACATTAGCATTATTTAAACAGTATAAATAACCAGCGTAAATACATACGAAACACAGACACACACGTATGTGTGAGTTGTCATGTTTAAAAACTACTTCAGGTTTTGAAGAGATTTAAAAAAATAAAAAAATAAAAACATCTGAACTTTGCCGGGGGAATTCCATAAATGATAGTGCTTACATCAGCAGCTGAAAAGAATTGCTAATGTAATCTTCAAATGGGGGGAAATCTGCTTAAATGAGATAATGAGATTTGAAAATGCAGAGAAAATACATCATTAATCAAGATGTGTCAATAGAATAAAACGTGGGTTCAGCTTGTACGAAGCATTATGAAATCATGCTGTGCATAGAAAATGGCCACGACATTAAATGAGTTGTTTGCTTTTTAATGATGGAATTATTTTTTTTTTTTAAACTGAATGATATGCCCTGAGCGAGTACAAGTGAACGTATCCGAAACAAATGATACATCAAAGTTCATATATTCTAATGAAAGGTTATTTACAGCATAGGTGTTTACTTGTGGTGGTTTTCAACATCGCAATACAGAAAAAGGTGAAAACAAGGTGTTGAATACCAACATGTAAAGTATCAACTCAATAACACAACCCGACTCACACATCAAGTCAACAGGTGTTACGATAACGAGTTCTATTTGTCAACAGATCTGGCTGCTATTGTCACACGCCAGCGTACAATTGTTCACATTTCTATTCTGTGCTCGGTCAATCGATGGTTGGAGTAGCATGTTAAGCGCCTGACCTGGTACGTCATGAGGCAATGATCTGATGACGCCAATCAGATGTTCAGTGGGCCGGTAAATACAACAACATCAAATGCGGCCATGCGGCAAGGAACGTATGTTGTCAATGTTTCAAACACAAAATTCTCATGTATCAGACACCTTTTCTACAGGCTAACCAAGCACTAATGAATGAGTATGATGTCAGCGTTTAAAGCACACAAAAAACCAGTGGACATAGCTAAGACAGGTCATTCAAACACTAAGGATAAATGCCGTCAGTGTTTAAATTACATTATTCCCAGGTAGTAGACGTAGTTAAGACAGGTCATACAAACACTAGGAGCATGTGATGTCAGCGTTTTAAACATAAAATTCCAGGTAGCAGACATAATTAAGACAGGTCATTCAATCACCAAGGATATATGCTGCCTGTGTTAAAAACAAATAAATTCCCAACTAGCAAACAAAATTAAAATAAGCCGCCGCAACATAGGAACATGCACAGTCGCCGTAATAAAAACAAAATTCCACTAAGTACAAGACACTATTTCCACAGGCCAACCAAAGATGCACATGTGACGTTAGTGTTTAAAAATATCCACCAGCAGTAGACATAGCTTAGACAAAACAACCAAACACAGGGACGTGACAAATTTTTGTACAGGTACCTGTTGACCCATTCCCCAGTTACGAAACAATGGTGTAGTAATGGGTCAGAGTCATGAAAGGTCAAGGTCAGAATGTTTTCACCGCTGGTCGGTTAACACGGAAGCTTGAATTTCTGCTAGTTACGGTTAGGTTTATCAGTAATTGGATAACCAGCTCTTAGGTTTCCACCTCCGTACAAGTGCCATAACCTCTATACAAGACCACTAACAGCCCAAAGGTCGGAAAAATAAAAACAAAAATCCAATTACGCCAGTCGGTTTTAAATTATTTACTTTTTTTAAATTGGATTTCTGCTCTAGGAGAAACTTCTGCAGAATTCAAATGTCAAGAAATTTTCGCGTGCAAGAACTAAAAACACTCGTCAGGATTTCGAAATAAAGATAAAAGGGAAAAAAGCTATAATTATGGATGATAACTAAAAACAAAAGTGAAAAATAACATTTCTACAATATTCGTCAAATAAAAAATATTTTAAATCGAACATTTAATTATTTTACTCAAAAATGTAATTTTCCATCACATTGAAAGTTGTTTTTTAAGCTTGTCATACTTCAATGTCAGGATATGTGTTAAGAGACTACATCCTTTATGATTTGAGATCATTATTTTATCAAAGCAACCCACATACGTAGCCTGGAAGTTACATAGTTGTTATAGAATGTTTTGGGGAGTTAAAATAGTATTCATACAGGGGTATTTTGGTAATCTAGTATTCTGCAGCTTATTTGGATATTTTCCCCAATAGATATAATAACTGAGCGAATGGACGATCACAAGGTAAATTAAAATAAGGTACAAATGTTAAAGGACCAGCCTGAAATGAAACATATTTAGCGCTGACGTTTCGCGAGACATACAAATCGCACAGAGACAACCAACGAGTTTATCTACGTCAGCTAACCCACTTCTAATCAATGGAAGCCGGAAGTGACGGGTAAGTGAGTTACTACAATGTTAACAGCTTTCATCGACCACGTGCCACGTGGGAGTCCACTAGAGGTCAGCTGGACAATACTAAATGCCCACACAATAGCCCGAGAAAAGGTTAAGCGAGAGAACAATGATAGCATTGTCTTGTCAAACGTATGTCATCTTGTGTTGCGACGATACGGTTATCTC